CAAAGTTGCTGCTTGAACAAGATGAAAATACTGCATATATGCAAGATAATCAGGGAAGCACGGCTCTTCACATCGCTGCTTATTGTAATCATCGGAGTGTTATGTCAATGATTATAAAATACTATCCAGATTGTTCAGAGATTGTGGACAACAAAGGCTGGAATGCTCTTCATTATGCTGTAAATGGGTACAGTTACCGTGCAACAGAGAAAATCTTGCGCAACTTATCGCTCAGCAACCTTTACAATGAGAAAGATTTTGATGGAAACACACCCCTCCATCACATGGCGAGTTCCAGGTGCAGCACTTGGAAATTAGTACGTCACCGCAGAGTCGACATACGGGCCATAAACAAACAAGATCAAACGGCTCTAGATGTCGTGTTCGGTCTAGAAGATTCCGATAAAGCAAGGGAAAAACAGGTAAAAAACAAATTCCCCTTTTAATATCAACAATTTGATTATAAATTTATTAGGTTTTTTAACCACATTATTATTATTATTATTTTTTAAAGGGGTTTGATTTTCTCATGTTAAATGAGAATTCAATTCTCATGTTGTAGAGATAAAAAGCATGTGGGACCCAGGTGTTAGAAAAAATTATATGTAGGACCCATATCAGCACGAAAATCGAAGGGTGTGTAGAAAAATTTGAATTCTCATGTTAAATGAGAATTATAAAACCCTTTTTTAAATTACACTTACCTTTAGAAATTTGCAGCAAGTAAAACACTAACAGTGGCATCTTTTTAATGACATTGTATATTACACTTTTACCCCTTATAGTTAATTACCAATAAAGGAACTAACAATGGCTTAGTTCAAAATTTTGAATTCCTATGATGAACTTAAGATGAGTGACTTAGGTTTATAAAATTCAAGTTAGTTTTAGAAAAAAAAAAATACCAACAATAAAATATAAAAAAACATAGAATTTAACATGAAAAAAATTCCATGGCGTAATAGGAAAAGATAAAATAATATGCCGGACTCCAATTGGATACCCTCATCCAAATGGATAAAATTAATTCACTATAATAAAAATCAACAAATCTCAAGTTCTATTCTTAAGACAAGCTCACCTAAATCTAAAACCCTATATTCAAGTCTCCCACTTATCCGGTATATTTATTAGTTAAAATCTTTGAGAGCTAAAATCTTCCAAAAACTTAAGCTCGGAAGTGAAGATTCATTAATGATTTTTATATTATATTTTTTTAACATATCCCCTCACGTAAAGAGTCGTTTGAGTTTAAAACGTGGATATTGTACAAGACTATTCTTTTTTGTTTTATCTTGTGCTGACTTAATTCCAATAAATAATGGAGGCAATGAGGATCGAACCCGTAACACCTTGTCACAGACCATGTAAAGCAACCATCAAACCTAAAATTTTAAGCTGTTGGATAAGATTAGAATAATTATTTTATATTCCTCTAACATCTATATTTAGAATTGATGATATCAAACAATTATCTTAAAGCATATTTTTTTTTTCTAAGCATGAATAATGTACATGTTTATTTTGTGTTGAAATTTAATTTTTACTTAGAAATTAAATTCTATCATATGTTAAAATTGTTGGGTAATTAAGAATTCAAATCACCTATTCTATTTACCTGCTGTTTTTTCTATTCTTTTAATAAAAAAATAATATTATACGAATTTTTTGATATGATAACATTCTCTCTCTTAGTCATTAGTTTTTTACTTTTTTTAGTTGAGGTATCATTTTTCGATTTAAAAACAATAATAAAATTAAATAAGGAATTTTTTTGGGTTCATTTAATCTTATGTTACATGAGAGATCTTCTCTTATATTATAGACACAATATGTGATAGGGCCCGCAATTTAAAGAAAAAAAGAAAAAAGAAAAAGTAAAAGTAGTGTCACAGTTTTTGATGAATTTGTAAGAGATAAACTACTATTATGTTGGATTTAAGTAATTTTTTTCTTTTTCATTTTTGTTACATATAAATAAGGGATTTGATTGCAATAAGTGAATATACGTGAACACTTTGCTATCTGACATATAAAAGGTAACAATTTTACGGAAATGCAGTTATTCATAAGGATATTAAAAAGGGATGGAGCTAAGACAAATCAGCGACTAGATCTAAAATGGAAGGAACCGACGGAAGAGAGTCGCAAGTTAGAGTTTGCTCCGGAAGCAAAGCAAGCACATCTAATAGTGGCGACACTCATTGCAACGGTGAGTTTCGCAGCTGGGTTTACCCTACCCGGAGGTACAATACCAGATGGCGAGCATAAGGGTAGCCCTGTTTTGAGACACAACGCCTCTTTCAAAGCATTCATGCTATCAAACACGATATCTCTGGTTCTGTCAGCTTCTGCAGCTTTAATACACCTTTTCTCGCCACTGAATAATGCCGTGTGGACAGATCAATATCTCTCCGCAGTAGCCTTCTCATTCACTTTGGTTTCAGTAGCAACAATGATTGTCGCATTCGCCACAGGCGCGTATGCTGTGTTGGGATCATCGGCAATTGGTAATGCAGTTATCGTCATTGCATTGTCCTACTTCCTTGTCTTCAGGCATGTGCTAAAAGAGAGATTCGGATACAACTTTCGCCTTCAATTTACAGCAAGTGTAGTGGCGTCGCTGCTGGCTTTTTTCAATAGACTAATCAGGTCCAACTTGTACTTTTAATTTACTACCAACTCCGATTGATCGAAAGAGGTCGTCTTGAGTGATGAATCATCTTCTACTACTTTTATAGATCTGTAATGCAATTTTTAGAGCTAAACTGTACGTACCTGTGCAACTGCTTAGGTGGCTTGTTGCTTTGTTTATTGTGTTAAAAAGTTCACTTGCTCAAAAAATAAAGTTTACCTTGTTCGTCACATCATCATTTAATACTTTCATTGTGAAAATCTATGATTTCTACTTAAAAGTATTTAACTGATTTATTTCTCAAATCAATATTATCAATAGAGATTAAAATATCAACTACGTTACCCTGGTAGCTCTGTTGGCGCATGAGAGCTAAGCAAGTGAGGGTGAGAGCATGTGTTCGAATCTTCTCTGTACCACCTTTGGAAGAGGTTTAAAGCCTTAATCCTGGACCGCCCCGAATCAGATTAGTTGCGAAACACTAAACCGATTGGAATATTTCTAAAAAAAATATCAACTACATTCTTTTGATATATATATATATATATATATATATATATATATATATATATATATATATATGCTACGAGGTGTATGAGCTAAGCAGGGCATCTCATCCAGTATGTTGTGGTTCGAGGACGAACCAGGCGGAAGCTGGTGGACATATAACATCCCGAGCGCTAACGAGGACGGGGAGTGATCGTTGGTGCAAAGAGGCACGGACAAGGAACGGCTCCTGACAGGCTTCCAGCGACGGGTTACATGCATGAATGAATCGAATCGATACCCGAAAGAGAGGGATTCCAAAGGCTGTGCAGGTATAAGACTGCATAGTTTGGGATAACTTATAACAATTAATTGGTACTACCTATGCTAACAAGATGCATCTGCTTTTTGGTAGCCCGAAACGGAAGAACTCCATAGTTAAGCGTGCTTGACTTGGAGCAATTCTGGGATGGGTGACCTCTTGAGAAGTTTTCCTGGGAAGTGTGCGAGTGAGGAAAAAATACACTAAAAAGTCTCGTGTTAGTATATGGGGATAACCGTTGATTCTTGAAACGGCCGGACGTTACAAAAATGATCTTGGGAGAAGGATGAGCCACCCAATAATGGATCCAATAATGCTCAAATTGGACTAATCGGTAATTGATGAACACATATATATATATATATAGGGGAATATAACTCTCATGTTACATGAGAGTATTTCTCTCATGCTATAGAGAGAATCCAAGTGGGGCACATCATTAAAAAGCAAAAAAAAAAGAGGGGTGCAATTTTTGAAGTGAGAGAACATGAGATAACTATCTCATGTAAAATGAGAGTAGTATTTTTCATATATATATATATATATATATATATATATATATATATATATATATATAAGGATTAAAGTACCTGTTGTAACTTTAGATGAATATATGTGTTGTTCACTTAAACGACACCGTTCTAGTCTTATTTTAATTAAAACGAATTACATAGCATGCTTCCGTCTTCACCTAGTTCACCTTCTCTATTTTATCTCGAGGTGGTTGGCCACCGCTCGCTGCTCTCTGATGACGAAGCCACAACAGCGTTTTGTGAAACTCTGCCCAGGCTCTCCGCCGCCCCTCTCGAGGAAGGCCTTGATCGCCCCCGTTATCTTACTCGAACAAGAACAATCCTGGTGGTCGAGCATTTGCTTTCCCTATGCCAAATTGGACCCTTCTGTCTCCATCGCCCCAAATGCAGTTTTCTAGTCCAGTTGGAAATTCTAGAGCTAAGGTCGACCACAATTCAGCTGCAACATCTGAGGTACAAGTTGGTGGCAACTCTGTGCCCTTTACTATTCATCGCCTTTTTTAGGTCTGTAATGAGACGCAAGAAAAAAAAGACCGAAACAAGGTGAAGACTATAGTTTACGATGGAAGAAACAAGAAGGTGAACGAGGTGAAGACGGAAGCATGATATGTAATTCGTTTTAATTAAAAAAAATCAAAACAGTGTCGTTTAAGTGAACAACAGATATTTATCTAAAGTTACCAGAGGTACTTTAATCCCATGTATGTATATATATATATATAGAGGAGGATCATTTGACACCGGTGTCAAAGAAAAAGTTTGATACCTCATTTGAGAGCCGTTAGATTAAAAAAAATCAATGGTGTCACATGCTTACAAATCAGAATCGTTGATTTTTTTTAATCTAACGGCTCTCAGATGAGGTCTCAAACTTTTTCTTTGACACCGGTGTCAAAGGATCCTGTCTCATATATATATATATATATATAATTAATGAAAATGTTCAAATTCATAATTATTTATTGATTTAAGTCTTTTGACAAATTATTTACTAATATATGAGAAAAGATATGCATAGGGGGTGTGTGTTGCAGCGGTCCCATACGTGATTTATGCAAAAATCAATGCACGATTGTCACATGTTGCAATTTGCAAGACGCGCATCACTTTATTGCATATTCAAATCACGCACTACCATGTATGCGAAACGCACTAAAGGATTAATAAAAAAAAAAGTCCAAAAACCTCCTTATGGATTTGCTTTGAATCACTTACATCCTTATTTTTTTTATTTAATCTATTATCCTCTATGGTTTTTCCATCTAACTCTATCTTTAACATCGTTATAAACTTAACTAATGTACATATTTTACTTTTTTAGGAGAAGAAAATAAATTAATGACCAAAAAGGAAACAAACAAAAGAAAAAAAAAAATCAAATAAGTTGGAAACTTACGACACCTATATAAAAAACTAAAACTAAAATAAAAAAATAGAAAAAAGATTAAATATGACAAAATCAAGAAGAGAAAATCGACCGAGGACAAAAAATAGAAAAAAAAAACCAAAATGTTAAAAACTTACAGCAGTGACAAAAGACTAAAAGTAAAAAAAATAAAATTGAAAATAGCCTTAATAAAAAAAAAATAGACTAAAGAAAGCATTAAATGAAATAGAATAAAAAATAAGAAAAAGATAAGACAAAAAATAAAGAGAAAAAAATAAGTTATTATTGTAAGTTTTGAACATATTTAATCTTTTATTTTTCTTTTTGATATAGATATATTTATTCCTTTATTTTTATTTTATTATTTTTTAGCCTTTTCTATTACTGTCAAAAGAAATAGAAATAAATAAATAAAATAAGACAAACAAGAAATAGCAAATTTTGTTGTTGTTGTAAGTTTTCAATATATATTTGATTTTATTTTTTCTTCTATTATTGTTTGTGCTCAGTCTATTTTATTTAGATATATTTTATTTTATTTTTTCTTCTATTTCTTTTTTTTTTGGTGAACATTTATTTATTTTTATTCTTTAGTCTATTTTCATCCTTTTGATTTAAACTATTTTTTATTAATTTTTTATTTTAGTTTCTTCTATTATTATTCTAAGTTTTCAATATATTTGGTTTTTTAATTTGTTTATTCTTAGTTTATTTTATTCTTTTTAATTTAAACATATATAGTTTTTTTTTTTTACTTTTAATATTTTATGTAAATGTTGTCAGTTTTTAATATATTCGGTCTTTTTTCCAGTTTATTTTCTTCTTAAAATAGATAAATTAATTAAGTTTCTAATTGCGTTAAGATAAGACTATATATAAATTTTTTTTAATGTTTCTACGGTGAATGTAGATAAGTTATTTACCTTCGTTTCCAAAACGACGTCGTTTTGAGTTAAAAAATTATAACAAAAAAAACTATTATAATCTTGAAATACATTATAATTAAAAAAATAGCGTGATTTTCTCATCAAAACGACGTCGTTTTGATATCAATGTAGATAAGTTATTTACGTTGACTCTAGAAAAATCGAACCCATAAAAAAAAAGTAATTAAGAAAGTGAGGTAATAAATGATGAAAAGAATTTTGAATTTTTCTCAATTAATAATAATTTATCAAAAGACTTAAAATGTAAATAGGTATAAAATTCGAGAGGAAGGTTATATTTACAACTTCTTTTTTACAACCTCTTACAACTAGATATCATAACCGTTGATTTTCGCTAATCAACGGTTGTCATTTATTATAAATTAATAATTAATTAATGAGTTTAATTTACAAAAATCATAACCATTGATTGACGGAAATCAACGATTATGATATATGGTTGCAACATGTTGTAAAAAAAAAAGTTGTAACTATAACTTCTCCCAAAATTCGAATAGATAAAAAAAAAAAAAAAATCTCAAGATAGATGAGAGATACTGTGGGTTGTTGAGTAAGATGACATAAGAAGGTTGACAAACTAAGCAAAATCAAAACAAAAAGATATTCTCGAAAATGCAAAGTACCAATCAATATTAATGCCAATGCCACCTTCACTGCTTATTCGCTTCACTTCCACTCTCCTCTGCAAATCACGTCCCTAACTGAATTTTAATAAAATTATTTTCTGTCACTTTCCCGGGAAAATCTTCTTCTTTCTGTTTTTCTCAATTTTCTTTTTGTTCCCCAATGGTTTTGTCCCGCAACTCATCGTCCCAACCGGAGATCGACGACGCCGCCGCCGGCAGCGACATTGGATTCCACCCGATCCGTGGCCGGTTCCCCTTCAAGCGGAACCCTAGCCACAACCGTGACCGTCACAGAGCCTCCTCCGATCGCCAATTGCCGAGGTCCAACCGATCTCACCTCCACAATCGCTTCACTCGCAAGGGGTTGCTATGGCTCTTCCCCTTCTTCAAGGGAAAATCCGGATTCTACGCCATGATCATCGCCGTCGTCTTCCTCTTCGCCCTTGCCTCCATGGTGATGCAAAGCTCCATCACCTCCGTTTTCCGGCAACGGACCGAGCGCGGGAGATATCTCCCGGAAAAGCTCAAGTTCGGTAGCACGCTCAAGTTCGTGCCTGGAAAGTTTTCCCAGAGGTTCCTCTCCGGTGATGGTCTCGATCGGGTTCGGTCCCAACCGAGGATTGGTGTTCGTGCACCCAGGATAGCTCTCGTGAGTTCCCTTTCCCTTTTCTTATGCTTTGCGTAAAATGATTCTGTTCCTTTATTTCTTTCCTTCATGTTGTTTATTTAATAGTGTGTGAATGTTTTTATGCCAAGTGTTGACACTTACCTGCGATTTAGTGTAATTAACTAAGTTTAAGGACTTGAAGAAAGGATTTAGTTGTGTTTTACGATCATGTCAATTATTCAGTTTAAGTGTTCAGTTAATGGAAAATATATTTTATTTGAAGGATCCATTTGAATTGTGACAGGAGAGCCGTACATTTTATTTGGTTCTGGTTTGTGGGGTTTTTAGAGAATGATTGCGTTCATTTGTTTCTTTCAGCGTTTATTAATATTGCGTGTGCTTTTTACTGCTAGTTATTACAAAGCCACAAAAAAAAAATTAATTGCTTAAAGGACCATATTCCTTGTTCTGTTTAATTAGTTAATGGAAATGATATTATGGATACATTTGAATTATGACAGGAGAATCTTGCATTTCTTTCCAATTACCAAATTCTGGAATCTTTGTTGGTAATTGAGCCTAAAGAACTTGTTTATTTTTCCGTCAGTTTTCAAATAAGTTCTCCCTTTTGATTAAGGCTAAGTGGAACAGAAATCACGCTGACATGTTGCTGAAACTGAATGTCAATAATCTTGAGATATATATGGTCTTGATTTATTCCTGATCCGATTTGTACTTTAGATGTTTACTAGCTGGAAATAACCGAGTCAGCGTGTTACGATCCCATTTGCAAGGTATGAGACTTGAAGTCCCACAATAGTTGTATGGGCAACTAATGTGGGGTTTATAAGGCCTTGGGCACTCCCACCATTTGAGTTAGCTTTTGAGGTGGTGCATCCTAAGGTTTTTATCAAATGGTATCAGAGCCTTCCACTATGTGTCCCTATTGCAATCGAGCGGCACAGGTGGTGACGCCGACATTGTAGTGTTCGCCCAGGGCTAGCAAAAGACTAGCGCAAAGCTAGCCCGCGTGGGCGCCAGGGCTGCAGAGCGTGGTAGAATGTTACGATCCCATTTGCAAGGTATGAGACTTGAAGTCCCACATTAGTTATATGTGTAACTAATGTGGGGTTTATAAGAGGCCTTGCGCACTCCCATCCTTTGAGCTAGCTTTTGGGGTGGTGCATCTCAAAGTTCTTATTACAGCGCTAGAGTGAACTCACTGGAGTGAATGTGTTCTAAGGATGGTTATTTATGGATTGATACATTGAGTTAGTTTTAAATGTTATTTTTGCATATGTACAAGAAAAAGGTGAATAACCAATTCTTGGTGTAAATCAGTACCTTTGCCATTTTGTTTTCTGATTCCTATAATATGAATAAAGATTGTATATGAATGCTTGGTACAACAATGCCCATTAACACATGGCCTCATGTACAAATGAAACTATATTTTTGCCAATGGCTTTGCAGCCAAGTGGCACATAGTTTCCTTAGGAAGCACTTGATACCTGTTTTGATAGCCAATGAATATCAAAATGTCAATACTTGCACTTAGTATCTGCTATTTTCCATTGCACCACCAGGTCTTAGTGCCCCCTTTTACCAAAACAATAATAGTAATAGTAAAAGCCACTAGGGTTAGCCTAGTGGTGAGGGGTGTGCGTAGTTGTGTTAGGTGGTGTGTGTTCTAGTCCTTCCTCATGTATCCAAAAAAAATAGTAATAATAATAATAATAAAATAATGAGGAATTTCTTGGGGATATAGTTTAATATCTTTTTATTGATAGAAGGTTGAAGAGTTCAAGTTACTTAGTTCACTTAAGTACAGGACAAAAATTCTGCACCCTTTAGTTTCCTTATTGCTTAACATTGGAATTTATCATTTCAGAGGTGACGCATCTAATGTTTGGAGATTTTAATGTAAATCTAAAATGTCTAACAGAGAAGTGAGGGTATGCTTCACTGAATGGTGGTCCTTGTGATAAAACATGCCACAAACTTCTAATTCTGATTTATTAAAAATGGGTGATTATAAAAAGAATGGAGGATAAACAAGCTCGGTTCTTCTACTGACATTGTATGGGCACATCTACTTCTATGTTGTAATTCCATAGCAAAAATGCAAAATCGATCTGGTTTTCTTAATTTATACCAATCATGCATTTGTGTTGGCAAATCTTTATTCCTCTCTGTTGTTCAAACTTCAAACTAAAAAGAGATGAAACCTTACAACTTGTTCTTCAGACAAGGATCCCTGCCTAAGAACTTTGATAGTTACCTTCATGTGATGTGTAGGTTCATTGATTTTGAGTAATGAGCATAACAATGACAGCTCAAAGAAGAGATTCTTGGCTTTTGAAAACCACATGGAAAAGCTATCCTTCTAGTTTGTGGCCCTGACCTTGTAGCCCTTGGGCCAAAAGGGCTGGGCTAATCATTTGGCCTATTTATACATTTCTTTTTAAAAAAAAAAATGGAAAAAGGGATGATTACATTGTCAAATATTAAGTCTTCAGCACTTAATTGGGTTGTCAAAGATCACAATTTATTTTCATCATTCGGCGTAGTATACTGCATGAAAAGCATTAGGATATTTATCTGTGCTTGTTTTGTCTGCCAGATTTGTGGGCACATGAAGATAGATTCCCAGTCATTGATGTTGATTACTGTGATTCAGAATCTACAGAAGTTGGGTTATGTTTTTAAGGTAAGTCATTTGCATTTTCTATGTGATATTATCTTAACTTCTCCATAGATGAAGATGCTGCTCTATTCAAAACCTAGCCCTGAGATCTAAATCTTTTAAATAATTGTACATGAATTATTCTCAAAATGAGTTGCCTCTGAAATTGATGCTATTGCTATAGCTTGTTAATTTATATTTTTGGCATTGTAATCAAGTAAAGATTTTGAGAGGCCCAGACATTTTTTCCTTTGTCTATTAACAGATATTTGCAGTAGGGCAGGGGAAGGCCCGCTCAATATGGGAAAACATAGGCGGTGGTCTCTCTCAATTGAGTAGAGAGCAGCAAGGCCAGATTGATTGGTCAATGTATGTGTGTCTTTTACCAAATTTACTTTTCCTGTTTGATGCTGGGGTTCAAGTTGGGATTATCTGTGTCACTTTTAATGCTTTTAACATTTTTTCTTTTTGGTAAACATGTTTTTGGTATAATTTCTTCTTGTTACATGATAGTTGGTTAACTTTTTCAATTTTTCCCTTTTCCTTTTGGTCTCCCCACAGTTTTGAAGGTATCATTATTGACTCTCTAGAAGCAAAAGAAGCCATTTCAAGGTGGGTTTCATCCTTTTCAGTTCTAAAGTTGCAAAATGTCTGACCTCTGAACTTGCATATTGGGCTTAGGGTGGGTTTCCAATTTTGTTTTCGGAAGTTGAAAGTGTTGCCATTCTTTGGGTGTTTCCCATGAAATTTGACATCATGTTGCCTACCTTTCCAGTAAAACTTGAAAAATTGTCCCTGTGAACTGAAGATCGCTCTGATATATGGGGTTTAATAATTAAATTTATTCTGCAGATCATGTGAATATGTTTTATGATGATAGATTGAGCACTTTGTTTGGAATGAATGGTGAATAGAGGAAATATTTTGTTTGAAATGAAAGTCAGGGATGAAAGTTGGTCCACCTTGTTGGATACACATAAAATTTGATAGGAATGAAAATTACAAGATTTACAATTTCCCATTTTCATTCCTCCTACTTTCTTTCCTTCTTTACCTTATTTCCAAGAAATCTGTTGATGTTACTAATGTCCTAAATATATGCAAAGGGAGAAGCATTAGTTCTCTTTGCTTTCTTCAAGAGTCAGGTATTTTTTTTAAAAAAAATTATGTTGATTAGCTTGCAGATAGAGTAAGCTTTAACCACATCTTGATATAAAGACTCACTACGGGGTTTCCTTGACCTTTTTTGCTTTGCTAAACCTGATTGCTTGAAATTTTGCTGTCTCAAATTTGCATTCTTGTTTGTCCATTGGTGTTTTCATCCCCATGGTTACACTCGTGCCAACACTTTCTGAGCGATCAGCCTGAGAAAATGAATTTGTAAGGCAGGATGTTTTGATGGTGATTTAGGTATTAAGAAAGGACATGATATGCTTTATTTGACCTTGGAAAGGTATCGGTTTACTGATGCATATGCCTTCCTGTTTGCTAGTTTTAATATTGAAAACGGATATAGTTATTCCTAGAATTCGTTTGACCTATAGTCTATCATTATTATCTTTAAAGGTTGATTAATGTTTAGACAGAATCCAATAATCTGGTTTTGGACATTGAAGCAGTGAGCATTCTGCAGCGTCTTTCTGTCCCTTGTCTTTGGTCATAGGAGATGTTTCTTCTTTAAAGTTTTAGATGCTATGATTAGTGAGTTTTATATTTGTGCAGCCTTATGCAGGAGCCTTTTTGTTCAGTACCATTGATATGGATTATTCAAGAAGATAGCCTTTCAAGTCGTCTTCCAGTTTATGAACAAATGGGTTGGGAGCATCTTGTTTCTCATTGGAGAAGCGCTTTTAGCAGAGCCAGTGTTGTTATCTTTCCAGATTTCATTTATCCGGTAAACATGCTGTTTCGTATGTACAAAGACATAAACAATGACTGTACTAGAATCTATTCTCCATTAGACGTACCTTAAATGTTTTGCTCAGTTTTCATATCTTCCTGTATCAGATGTTATATAGTGAGCTTGACACTGGAAACTTCTTTGTGATTCCTGGATCACCGGTAGATGTGTGGGCTGCAGAAAGCTATAGTAAGACCCATGCAAAGGATTCACTAAGAGAACTTAGTGGATTTGGTAAAGATGATATGGTAGTTCTAGTTGTTGGGACCTCAATCTTCTATGATGACCTATCTTGGGACTATGCTGTTGCAATGCATTCCATAGGGCCTCTGCTGACAAAATATGCAAGGAGGAATGGTGAAGCTGAGTCATTTAAATTTGTTTTCTTATGTGGCAATTCTACCAATGGTTATGATGACGCTTTACAGGTAGTCTTGCTTTTTAAGGTGTACTTTGTATCATATGTTATATTGATGCCAATAAAATATAGGACATTAGACTTGTCATTATTTATTCAATTAATCATTAGTAGAAATTTTAACCATATCTCCAAGATATTAATTGCAAATAATTGAGTATTTAAATTATTTGCTAATCAGGAGAAACATATAAAAAAATTAGGAAACAAGTGGATAGGATTATGTCTTGGGAAATTATTTTGTTGTCAAATTCGATGTTAATTGTTAATTACTTCACAGTATTTGTACAGGTTGATCTCTTTTGATGTTATTGTTGGGGTTCACTTGTTTAATAAAAGAATTTACGAAACCAAAATTGAGCGTTGTGATGTAAAATTGCATTTTTGGGACTTCCTGTAACATTTCATGTGCTCAAGAGCTGCACTTTTTCATTGTAAAGTCACGAACCATTGCTGGGATTTAGCTATATAATTGTTCTAAAGCATACGCCATTTTATTTTCATCTTGCTTTTTATATTATGTGGTAAAAAGGGATATTGTTGGAGGAAGCTCCTCCAAAAGGTTGGGAATGTTCAGCATGATATCAGTAAGAAAATGGACACAATATCAAAGAAAAAGGTAGTAAAGAAATAAAAATGAAATTAATAAATTGAAAAATACTGAAGAAACAGAAATCTTAAAGATGGGCGCTCATAATTATAATAGTGGCGGTGCTTGGTTTTATGTTTAACTTGTCTATAGCAACAGTATCTCAGCTTGGATATATTGTCTTTGAGTTGTTTACTGATCCCTTAGCTTTTGGTGTAGGAAGTTGCTTCACGTTTGGGACTTCCTCATGGTTCTATAAGGCATTATGGCTTGAATGGTGATGTGAATAGTGTGTTACTAATGGCTGATATCATCCTATATGGTTCTGCTCAAGAAGTGCAGGGTTTTCCTCCATTATTAATCAGAGCAATGACTTTTGAAATTCCAGTCGTTGTACCTGATTTTCCTGTCTTAAGAAAATATGTAAGTTTGTTTAAGTTCTTCCTTTTCATCATTCATTGATTTTTGTAACCATAGCTACTTTTTTCTTTCATTTTCACTGAGCTTTTCTCATCTTACAGATTGAGGATGGAGTCCATGGGATATTTTTTTCTAAACACAATCCTGAAGCTTTGATGAATGCTTTTTCACTTTTGCTTTCAAATGGAAGACTTTCTAAATTTGCTCAGGCAATTGGATCATCTGGGAAACAGCTTGCTAAAAACATACTAGCTTTGGATTGCATAACTGGCTATGCAAGACTTCTGGAGAATGTACTCAGTTTTCCCTCAGATGCTTTACTGCCTGGTCCTGTTTCTCAGATTCAGCATGGGGCATGGGAATGGAATTTGTTCCAGGATAAAACAGAACCTGGCATTGAGTTACCAAAGATGGATGATGATTTTTCCGTTGGAAAAGTTTCCATTGTCCATGCTGTTGAGCTGGAGTTGGCAAATCTTAATTATTCAACAAGCATCTTTGAGAATGGAACACAGGTTCCAATGCAGGATAAACTAACCAAAATGGATTGGGACATTTTGAGGGAAATTGAAATATCTGAAGAGAATGAAATGTTTGAAATAGAAGAGGTATGATGTAATTATGCAATGGCAACAATTAGTTTTAACTTTTATCTTCCAACCTGCATTTTCCACCGTCTCTGTATTTATTCCATCATTTTGGAACTCATGATCAGTTTAAGAGATAGCTGGTTAACAAAATATTTTCTTTCTGTTGTAGGTTGAAGAGAGGATGGAGAAAGATGGTGGTGTGTGGGATGAGATATATCGTAATGCTAGAAAATCTGAGAAACTGAAGTTTGAAGCCAATGAGAGGGATGAAGGGGAGCTTGAGAGAACAGGAGAACCAGTGTGCATATATGAGATATACAATGGTGCTGGAGTGTGGCCATTCCTACACCATGGTTCTTTGTACCGTGGGTTAAGCCTTGTGAGTATCTTTGTCCATAGTTAAGACAATTTATCCCTTGTTCCCTTTAAGCCTTTTGTTTTCTTTCCTCCTTTTCAATTTATTTCTTGCAAGTTTACATGAGATTTTGATATATTTATCACTCTAGTCTCTAGAGTGCCGTTTTAAAATATTTCACCTTTTTTAATTTTATGGCTCTATTTTCACTAAAAAAGATAGAGAAAAGCATGAACATGCTATTAAATTGACCGTGTAACTTATACATAGTTTCTTTTAGATAATATTTGCTCTATTTCACTTGGGATGACCACTTGTTTGAATTTAGCGAAAAAGGTTTCATTTTGTTAGTCTTGCATGAAAATCTACTGGAAATATTTTGACCCTTGTTTTCTAATTATAATGAAATAATATTTCTGGCAGTCTAGAAGAGCACAGAGACAAAGCTCTGATGATGTGGATGCTGTTGGACGATTGCCTCTTCTGGATGACACACATTATGTGGACATTCTCTGTGAAATGGGAGGAATGTTTGCAATGGCAAATAGGGTGGATAACGTTCACGGGAGGCCTTGGATTGGGTTTCAATCATGGCGTGCTGCTGGTAGGAAGGTATTCCTTATGTTAGTTTAACTTTTGCGATATTTTTACAATTTCACTATATGGAGTATAATAGACCTGTGTTTTTATTAAGCCATGCTAAGTAGTTTTCAGAATCTAAAAAGTATCTTTAGTTAAGATACCCTTAGGGGGCGTTTGGCTAGCCTCTTTTTACAGGTTTCCTATGCAAATGCAACAAGACTTTTTGAAATGTCTTGTTTGGTTGAAAGAAATTTACTTAGAAAGCCAGCTATTCAATTTGCATGGCTTTTTAATTTTTGTCATAGAAAGCCATCCATCCTTACTGTTTAGAATGCGTTTTCTGAGGTGGGTATTTGTTAAAAGCTGGGAAAAGCACTGTTCATCAAAAATTTTCACACCCTTTATACCCTCTGAAAAGGCAAGAGAGTGAAGATAGGATTTTTGCTTGTGTGGTCAGCAGCTTAGGGGTGTTTTTTGTCATTTCAGATTATTTTCCCATCTATATCTTACCTCCAATCAAACATACATTTTCTAAAAGTTACTTAATTTTTCCAGTAAAATTTTTTCCCACCAAACAACTTTTTTTTACATTTTCCTATCTATCTCACTTTATCTCACTTTCTTACCATTTCCCTATCAATTCTATTTCCCTAGTATTCAAAAAATTTATCCTCAACTAAACGCCCCCTTAAATTCTGTAAAATAACAAGAGACGAGAAGAACATTAAAATAAATTTATATATTGAATTGATTTAGGAAAGTACAATATATAAAGAAACACTAATGGGCTTAGCCCATACCTAACCTAAATTCTAATGAAATAAGGAAATAGATATTTACAAATAATAAAGATATTATTTTTAACAAATTCTATCAAAAATAAAACTTAATTAAGAAAATTAGTATACCTTTTATTTGAGTTATGCATCAATTGATGCAGAATGAAGTTTTATTTTGAGAAAATTGGGTCTTCTCATTTCATTTTTTTCCCCTCACTGCATATATATGTGGAGTTCGTTTTGAAATTATTGCTTGATACACATCAATTTGCCAAAGCAGGTAGCATTGTCTGCGGAAGCTGAAAAGGTTTTGGAAGAAACAATGCAAGATAATGTTAGAGGTGATGTAATTTATTTTTGGGGACGCTTGGACATGGATGGGAGTGTCATAGGAAGCAACAATGCACTTACTTTTTGGTCCATGTGTGACATCTTAAATGGAGGCAACTGCAGGTATATAATATGGAATATAAAACTTTACGTACTTTGCTCATTGTTGTCTTTCAGCTGCTTAAGAATTTCAATCATCCCACCACCTTCCCTGATATATTCTATCTTGAAGTTGCATCTAGTGTTATTTGCACTTCCTACACAATTTGGTATGATGGCTCGTGAAATATGAAACTTGCTCTATAATAAATTTATAATGCTTGGAGGTTCAAAGGGGAGTTTCTGGAAGTTTGACTTTGGGTATTGTTATGTGTTTCAAACTCATCTGATATTATGCTTCCAATTGCATCAGAACTGTTTTTCAAGATGGCTTCCGCCAGATGTATGCATTGGCCCCCCATGCAGAAGCACTTCCCCCCATGCCTGAAGATGGTGGTTATTGGTCAGCGCTGCACAGTTGGGTGATGCCAACCCCTTCTTTCCTGGAGTTCATCATGTTCTCACGGTAACTAATTAATCAAATTAGCTATCGTAACAGTAGGTTAATTAAAGGCACTTTCTTGATGTGAATGAAAATAGGAACCTGAAATGTTATCAATTGAGTGCAGGATGTTCGTTGATTCCATTGATGCACTGCACAGAGACTCCTCCAGTCAATTTAGCGTGTGCTTGTTAGGCTCTTCAGAGATTGAGGTAACTTGTTTGCATTTTCTTTCAAGGTTTCATTTATTATTTGTATTTCTTACTTTTGCTCGTACTATGCAGAAAAAGCACTGTTATTGTCGAGTATTGGAGCTTCTCGTCAATGTATGGGCTTATCATAGTGCACGAAAGATGGTATATATAAATCCTAACACTGGTTTTATGGAAGAGCAGCACCCAATTGAACAACGGAAGGGTTTTATGTGGGCAAAATACTTCAATATTTCATTGTTGAAAAGTATGGACGAAGATCTAGCGGAGGCTGCAGATGATGGTGACCATCCAAGGGAAATGTGGTTGTGGCCAATGACAGGGGAGGTACACTGGCAAGGGATTTATGAAAGGGAGAGGGAAGAAAGGTATAGGCTAAAAATGGATAAAAAAAGAAAAACAAAAGAGAAATTATATGAAAGAATGAAATATGGTTACAAGCAGAAATCGCTTGGACGATAGGAAAGCTAGGATTTGAATTTTACATGGGCAAACATTTCTGAACCCAATTTTGCTTCACTCGGGAAAATTGTCTTGCGAATTGGAGAAACTTTGATTCTAACAACATTGGCAGAGACGTAGAGACAGTATTCTGTTTCTTTCTTCATTGACTGAATACGTATATTCAACCCTCAGTCTCAAACGGGAGAGACAGAGACACAGAGCGAAAGGAGTTTCACATCTTATGCTGTTCACTAGTTTCACGGCCTTTTTTCATGGTCAATTATAGCAGCATAGAAGATACAGGTAGTTCCTCTTCTAGATGTACTCATAGTCTATAGAAATTCATTCATCAATCACATTCGATTTAGCTTAATTATGTATTCTTTCATTTCTGTATATTTGTTAAACAATTAGTGGCAATTTTGAGTAGAATAATGGCTGTTTCTGTACTGTTATTATTTTATCTAATCAGTCTCTGCTATGCTTCGCTTTCACTAGAAAGTGAAGAGAAATGGGAATTTTGCGTAATGTGATTTTTATTGGTTTATGACAGCTCAATTTCATATTCATTTTATTTTTTGGAAAATTAATGAAAATGACCATTCAGAAATAATATTTAATTTATATGAAAATTATTAAAAATTACCCTTGAAATATTATTCATAGAGAATGATAATTTACTTTTAACTTACATTTAAAATTATCGAAAGTGAATTTTGGAATAGCAGTAAGGTTGTCCATTTTTGGAAGGGATTTGTCTTATTTATAGTTAAAATTACCCTTAATAAAATCTTAATAATTACGTTCCTGTTTGTTAGTAGATTATTCTTGCTAGATTTCGTTGTATTTCTTGTTAGCTTTGGGGCTTAGCCATTCCTTGTGAAAAAAGAAAAAAGAAAAGTGATTATAATTCACCTAATAGTTATTATTAGTATATTAAAAATGACTAATATTCATTGACAATAGATATTATCATTTAAAATTGATGATTATAGTTACTAATAGTTACAAATTATTATTGATCAATCAGAGATGTAATAACGGTGTATCCAAAAAAGAAACCCCCCCAAAAAACACCACAACCACAACTTAAAATGAGTGATAATAACCATTTACATCTTTCAGCAACAAATTTATAAAGAAGATTATTACAAAAAAAAAAAAAAAAAATTTATAAAGAAGACCGTTTACATCATATTTGCCAAGTGACCGTTATTGAAACCTCTCATATCTTAATTAATATAATCATGATCATGTTATGTGGATGAATTATAATTATATGGATTTGGTTATAATCACATCACTATTTTTTCACAGAATCTAAATCCCTAATCATATAAAGGTGAATTACCAATCATAATTTTATAACTACCTATTTTAATATTCATATAAAGGTGAATAACCGATCATAATTTTATAACTATCTATCTTAATATTCTCTGTCTTCCCTTCTTACTATTGATTCATGTTTATATAATTATAATTCTCTCACATGACATAATCATGTTTATTAACATATGAGAGAATTCACTCTCATAAAAAATAATGATAGTCATTAAAAACAAGTATAATTTAGAATATTAAATAAACTTAGATATTCTTTTTCTCTAACAAAAATTAGAATGGTCCTTGTTAATAATTTAAACATTTTTTCCTGTAAAATAAGTATTACTCCTCAATGCATCTTGATATTAATTTTTCCTTATTTCCTTTTTTTAAGAAAAAAGCTCTGAGCAGTTAACAAATCCTCAAATATTCAAGGGCAACAGTGAAGGTTTTTTATGAGGAAATTATTTGAGTGAGTAAATCAGGAGGCAATTCTATGTAGACATGCCACTGGCATCCTAATCAATGATATTAGAGTAACTTATCTTTTTTATTATTTTTCTCACTAAAACAAATCTCTATAATATTTTTTTGATATATATATTCCCCCATTCATAAAATGCTCAATTAGTCCAATTTGAACATGGTGGGACAAATATCTCTTAATTATTGAATATATCATTTAGCTTTTTTTTTATACAATGGTAGGAATTTAACATATAATTTAGTACTCACTACCCAAAATTCTTTACCACTAGAACAATCCTAATGGATTATATTATATTATCCAACTTTGGATCATGTGAGGTTTGAATAACTTTCAAAACTTGATTGATTACCAAAAAAAAAAAAACTTTCAAAACTTGACACTATCTGCATGAAATTCTTTTCATTGAACAGTCAGTTAAAACACTAATGAAAATGATTAACCTGCCCATATCACTACCAAACCATATTTTAACATATAGTAGTATCATAATTAAGTGAAAAAATGATATTTATATTTTTTACTCTTAGCTGTGTTATTTTTTTTTTAAATCTCACCTTTCACTTAATTCTGGTATTATTTGAGGTTAAATAGGTTTTAATCGCATTATTTGAAAATTTTATGACAATTAGTATTTTTTTTTTTGTTTAGGCTTCCTATTCTTCAGTATTTAAAAAAAGGTCATCATAGCAATTACCTTATTTAGTATTTAAATTTTGTCATTCCCTTAAAAATATGATTTACTTACGACTGTGTTCATAATTTTGGTAACCTTTCAATAGTTTGCTTGATAGAAGGAGATTTTCTGTAAAATAATCTTTGCTCTGTTAAGGTAAAATAATCTTTGCTGTCCATATGAAAATTCTACATTTAAATACAGCCATTCAAAACAATTTGTTTCATTTACAAGTAAAAATTTCATATTTTTCCAAATTACGGGAAAAAAAAACAACTTTTCAATAAAAACACCAAGACAAAAATAACACCTTTTAATAATACATATTATAATTTTTTAAATAATCAATAATTAAATATCTATACCAGATATTTATCATTTAAAATAAAGAAATCAAAACACAATGTATTTGCTGATAAAAGAGAATGAAATCACCCAAATCCTTTGGCACAGTTGGTCCGGAAGCTGTGTTTTCTTAACCAGTGGTATCGAGTTCGAGTCCTGAGTATGGAAGAAAAGATTGGGTAGAGCAGCTCCCGCAAGGGTCCTACGGTGCTCGGTTTGAGATTAGTCTCACCCCAAAGGGGATGAGGATACCCTTCAGTTACTGAAAAAAAAAAGAAGAATGAAATCAAATTAAGGCTTTAATATTTTACTTGTTCATTTTGTTTCTTCTATGACCCCAAAGTGATATCATTTTGACGTAGGGGAAAGATATTTTTTTATAATTTTAATTTATTATGAGATTTTATTAAAATAAATTTATCTCTAATAAAAATATTAAAACCTTAAATTAAATATAATAATTTTTTTTTTTAAGGAGCAAAGCCAAACTTAAAAATAATAAATAATAATAGTCTCCCGCGCCGCACCACTTGGACCAATCGCTATCGTTATGGTACGATACGGTTCACCTCTTCATTCTTGAAACGCGATTCCCAGTTTTAAGGGTTTTTGACACTTCACACTGAGCCTGAGCCACACCCTCTCTTCTTCTTCTTCTTCTTCTTCTTCTTCTTACCGGCAAGTCTATCTTCTCTTTCTCTCAATTTTCTTTCCTTTTCTCCATTTCCTCATTTTCCATCTATTTCTTTCTTCTTCTTCACCTCTTTTTTTTTTTTTTTTAATTTATATTTTCCTTAATTTCTGTTAAGTTGCCATCAATTTCTGAGTGAATATAGCTATTGCTATCTGTTATGATCATAGTTAGTAGTTTTTAATTGCCTTTATAATTAGTCATTAACCTCAATTACCTTGTGTGCTGATGCATTCCAAGTATCAATAAGATTGACCTGTGTGTGTGTAGTGTAAGATAGATATGCACACTGTCTCCTTAATACTCTCTATTTTTCACTCACTCTTTTTTCTTTTATCAAATTTGATGCTGCTGCTGTAAAGTCTAGGATATTATATATTGTTCTCAGCTTTCATATGTTATAAAGTAACTCTTTTGTAATGTTCTGTTGTTTGCCAACAATTAAGGAAGCTTTTTATGATATTGAGCTTTTTTTTTTTTTGACGAACTTGTGTACAGGTGCAATTGAATTTTGCTATTGATTATATTTCTAAGCTAATTAGCTAGTGATGTTAATCTTATGTGTTGTGTAACCTTTCTGGTTGGACTGTACTACGTGCAGGTTTGTATTGTAAAAGTTGTGCTGAACATGATGCATTCTGTAAAGGTTGGGTGGGGGCAAACATTTGCCCTTGCCAAGCATAATGAATCTGAAGGGAAAAAGTCTCGGATTCGACGCTCGAAGGAGGAAAGAAAGGCAATGGTGGAATCCTTTATAAAGAAGTAATTGTATAGTAGTTTCTTTTGATCCAATGTTATACTATCCTGAGATGGGTTTAAAATATTATTAAATTTCAAGATGTCCTCTGAACGTTGTTCCTGTTTCTTCTTTTTTATTCTTTTTTATTAAATTTAATTGTTTAATCCACTCTATCATTTCATATTTTCTTCTTTTCCAAGTCAAGAATACATTATACATTATACCTCCTTTGCTTTCTTTTCTTTCTTAATACTTGGTAGTCCAATTTTATTGTGGTCAGCGTGTATTGCTCATTTCATTGAAACTAAGGGCAATAGGTTATATACATTTTATTATGTTTGACTTTTTGGCAAATGTTTTGTTGTTGGTAGTTTTCATTTTTGAACCTGCCAGTGAACATATTTTGTTTAAAGAAATTATTTGAAGGAATGGAAAATTTCACTTGTACAATATTGGAACTCTGACTTACCTATCTCTCAAGTCTCAATAGTGAAAATGTGATACAACAAGCAATAACGATGCTTATTATATTGATGTTTGATGTTTTTTTTATTAATGCCTTATATGACTACTTTGCTGCATCCTAGTGTCCGCTTGATGTGGGAGTGAAAAATGATATATTTGTTTTCTTTACGATTCAACTAATAAAACTGATGCATGAATATCTTTACCCCTATTTTTACCTTTATAGCAAATTAACCCTTAATAAATGCCTTTTTATGCCTATTATTTGCTAAACGTTTATTCACAGATGAGACTTTTAGTATTTGTGTATGCTTGCTGTTATTTGATATTATTTAACTTCTAATATTCTCTCCCACTATGCTATTATATTATATGCTTTGAAGGTTGAACTTTCTAGTATGCTCCTGTTTTTCTTTTCAGTTGTTGTAATTTAAGTCAAACTTTAGAAGTCTGTTTTGTCAATGATTTATTGAATGTATCACTCGTAATTACCATCTAGTTACTTGTCTCCAGGTATCAAGAGTCAAACAATGGAAACTTCCCATCACTTAATCTTACGCATAAAGAAGTTGGTGGCTCTTTCTACACAGTAAGGGAGATTGTGCGAGATATTATTCAAGAAAATAGAGTGTTGGGTCCTGCTAAGTTCACTTTAGAGGAGTTAAACTCTTATCAATTTTTTGAACAAAATCCATTGGGTTCAATTGCGAGAGATCCTCAATCTTTTTTGACTGGGTCTTCAAATGAAAATCATCCTGCGCCTAACAAACTTCAGGATACAAGTGGCGAAACGCTTTCTGTTTCTGATGGGTATAATACTGAAGTTGAGCTTGAGGTGGTGGACAAAGGGCATGTCATAAATGTTAGCCATGCAAATGTAACCAACAAGGAATCCACTGAAGAAGTTACTGTTGCTTCTGATGGGTATTGTACTGGAGCTGAGCATCCAAAGATTGATAAAGGGCATATCATAAATGGTAGCCAGGTAGATGTGACAAACAACAAATCTGTTGAAGCTACTATTGTTTCTGATGGGTATTATACTGGAGCTAAGCATAAGACTGTTGACAAAGGGCATGTCATGAATGGTAGCCAGGTAGATATGGTAAACAAGGAATCCATTGAAGCTACTCTTCCTGAGATACAGGTAAGTGAGCCTATGGCACCTGAACAGAATGTTGAACAAGAGTTGGTAGCAGCCACCACACCAATGGCTAAAGTAACTGCTGTGACAGAAGACTTGATAGTAGAGGCATTTCCATTAAGGCCTGTTGTTAGGACTACTGACGGAATAGAAGAAGGTCTTGTTGGAGAGTTGAGGGACCCAAGTAATTCACCAGAAAAGGATATACCCAAGTTGGAATTGGTACAAGCAGAGGAGAGGTCTGATATAGAGCCCAGAAAGAGTTCTAATTTATTGGATGAGAAATTTGAAGATGCCCTTGGAAATCAAATATTAAAGAACATCTCTAACACTGGGCATAATGAGGAGAAAAATGTAAGAGATACGTTGGCAGAAAGCACAAATCATTCTACCCACAAAGAACACTTGGGTCATGAATTTGAAGATAGCAATGACCCTCAAGTTAGAGTATCTCATCAAAATACTATAACTCTTGAAACCACTAACAAAAGCAAGATAATAGATGGAGCCAAGGTAATTTTTTATCTATATTTTTATTTTTTTAAATTGTCACAGTACTTTAGTATTCAGTGATTTGGATTTTTTTGTCTCTGTTTCTTGGGGGACTAGTTTATATGTTCTTTGTTAAATTATTGTGTTTTACTGGCAGAAAATTGCGTATTACTTGGAATGTGCCAATTATTATTATTTTTTACTTTATCCTCAGCAACTGCATCAATGGGTTAGCATATTCTCTAGAAAGATAAAGACTCATGTCATGGATCCTATAAATAATGATCAATTTATAAGAAACAATTGTTAATAACTACTTTTTCTTGTTATGAGAGGAGAAATTTCCTTGTTACATTTAAATGCTTATTTACAGACAAACGTACAAGATGGCTCTCAAGCCAAGAACCTCAGCGACACTTATACTGAGGGATCAAAACCTTCAGAGGAAGGCCTGCATAAAGCTAATGAACATAGAGTTGACGGTCAACTTGGTGGCAATTCCCAGAGAAGAAGCAAGACAACTTTAGATAGGATCAATCTGTAAGTATATATAATGATTGGATCTCAAATAATGTGCAGATTTCAATGCCATTCAATTTGGTTCTTTTGCATCAACTAATTTGTCCTTGGTTTTCACTGCAGAGAATCATGGGATGGGACACCTAAGAATTCTGCAAAACGAGAACCCAACCCTCTTTTAGCCATTTTTAAAGCTTTTGTGGATGCGTTTGTGAAATTTTGGTCGGAATGAAGATTTTAGTATTTGTTTATTTTTCTTTTCCTTTGTGTTATTTTTGGTGATTGTGGAGTTGATGTTTAGTACCTGTCAAAGAACGTTGTCGGCGTAGTCTTGATTAATTAATATGCGCATCTTTCTTTCTTTAATAGCAATTGTCTTGTCTTCATAGTTTATCTGGCTGTGTGGAGAGTACATGGGAGGCAGCTCTTGTTTTCTTAAGTGTGGAAGTTTATAACTCGAATAATGGAATGTTTGTTGTTTAATTGCATTTTTATATTTTAGTCAACATTTAATTGTTTTGGGGATGTAGTCTTCTTTAACTTTCATACCGATCACAATTGAAAATTTTGACAGACCTCTCCTAGCAGAATCCCCTGCAGTTGAATTGCTTGTGCAATCAGTGTAACAGAGGGAGAGAATGTGGGTCTCAATTTTATTAAAATTTAGATATGAATGATTACTACTATAACATGTACTATGGAAGGAATTTCTCCTTCCCTTGTGACATTTGTTGAGATGAAACTATCTATATTCACGAAATTTCTCCATCCCTTCTGACATTTGTTGAGACTTGAGACTATCTATATTCAATGGGGAACCTGAACCCGGTTAGAAATTAGGTTCAACCTTTGTTAACCTTGACATGTTTGGAATTCAACCCCGACACTCAAGCAAAAGAAAGTGAAATATTATTTTTATTTATATATTTATTATATATTCTTATATAAATTTAATGGGGTTTGCATCTACTATGTCACGTGACATAAATTTTTTTTCTACACACAATATTTTGTAGGACCCACACTTTTTGAAGCAAAAAAAAAAAATAAGACACACAAAACGAATCTCTATAACATTACACGATCACTTATCTTTTCTTGTTGTCACGTAACTCTTATAAAATCCAAATTTAATTAGACATATGAGTGATTAATTAACCCGAATAAACTAGCCCCAATTTTCAAGAAAGAAGGAAAAGGGTAAGGTAATAACCATTACATTATCGTTCAGTTCATTTCAATTCAATTCAATTTCCTAATCGAAATCCAAAATCCATGTCGGAGTACTTCCCCCAAGAAATCTTGTTAGAAATCCTTCACAGGCTCCCACCAAAGTCCCTTGTGAAATGCACCATTGTGTGCAAATCATGGCACTCGCTCATCACTCACCCTTCCTTCATTTACCTCCATCTTCGCCACTCCCCCTCCTTCCTCCTTCTCCAGCTCTGCAATGAGCGCCCCTACCCCAACATCCTCAACTACACCCTCCGCCGCGACGACTTCTTCCTCACCGATTCCTCCTCCGTCCTCCGCCTCCCCTCCAACTTAGAACGCGAGTTCTCCGTCGTGGGCATCTGCAACGGTCTCGTTTGCATCACCAGCGGCGAGGAATGCTACACTCTCATCATTTGCAACCCATGTGTTCGACGATATGTCAGACTCCCCAAACCCCGCGATTACCCTTGCTTGTGCATTGCCTGTGTTGGGTTCGGCTTCGATTCTCGAACCCTTGACTATAAAGTTGTTAGGATTGTTTGCTTGCTGGATGACAAAAGGTACGGCCTTTCTCCTCCTGTGGTTGAGGTTTACTCTCTTGCAACTGGGTTTTGGAGGACTTTGGATCCTGCTGTTATTCCTGGTTTTTGTTTGTGTTGCGTTGGTGGGGATGATCCCCATGGTTTTGTTGATGGGGTTGTTCATTGGGGTGCCAAACGTATGGTGGGTGATGCTTGGTACTATTTTGTGTTGTCCTTTCATTTTGAGGATGAGGTCTTCGTTGAGGTGGTGCTGCCGGAGAGCTTGGCTCGTGTCTCCTTCGATTATGTTACGGTTACTGTTGTTGGAGGTGGTTGTCGGAAGCCTCTTACTGTGTACCATGTCAGTGGTGGTTTGCCATGCTCTTGTGAAATTTGGGTGATGAAAGAGTATGGAGTTGTGGAGTCTTGGAATAAGGTGTTTGCTTTTAATCTGGTGGGGTTTTGTCTGGAAGCACCGGAGTTGGGGACAACGTTGACCGGCATAACGGGTCCACCCGCAGCTTTATGCGTTAGGAATAATGGAGAGGTGTTGCTGCTCATGGATGAGGCGGGATGGGGATGCCTATATTCCCTGGATGTTGAGAGAAGAAGATTAACAAATCTTCATATTGGAGGAGCCGGGTACACATGGTATCTATACTCTAGTTATTATGCTGAGAGCTTAGTTTTACTGGACAAAACAAGTGGTTTGGTGTCTTATTAAACAGGTAATGGCATCCGATACTTATGTAACATCTCTTGAGGTTGTTTAAGTGTGTAAATGAATGATGTGTAACAAAGTTTTTATCTCTGTTTGTTGCTTATAATGTCGTCTATGAATTCCAAGTCTGCTAATAGAATAGGTATATTATACTTGCCTCAAATTTCTAAAAGAAATTTTTCTTTCAAATTATTAGAGCTTGTGTGGCTCGAAAACCTCATCCTGTATTTTGGGATGCTACCTTAATTCATTATACTGTTTTATTTTTGTTACTTAATATATGATATTGCCTGATGTATTAGCTAATTTGTTCTTTAATATGTAATATAAGCATAAGCATCCAAACAATTATCTATTTATCAATCTACCCTTGAAAATATCCTTTGTGGGAATGTTACATTAGTGTGTTTCTCTGTGGCGTAATTGGAGCTTGGGTAATGCCATGATTTCTCCTTGTATTAATATGTAACATAAGCATAAGCATTCTTATGAATAATAGATCTTGAGTTATTCCAAACAATTATCTATTTATCAATCTACCCTTGAAAATATCCTTTGTGGGAATGTTACATTAGTGTGTTTCTCTGTCGCTTAATTGGAGCTTGGGTAATGCCATGATTTCTCCTTGTATTTTTGGGATGTCATCTTAAGTTAGTTCATCATGATGTGCTCCCTGTTTATGATATTAGTTTTTGCTTCCTTAAGGTGATAGTGATTAGACAATTTCTATCAAAAAGTTTTTGGTCCCGAGTAAAGTTGGCTGTAGAAACAGTATTATCCAAGTCATGATTGTTTACTGTCTAATGAAAAAAAAAATGTGGAAGGTCAAGGAAGCTGGCGGTAGATAAGTTAAATCTGATGACAATCAAAGCATTATTTTAGGATAATCTCTCCGACGACTACTAAAAGATGAAAGGTCAAATACTTATAATTTGAATTTGAATTTTCCCAACCATGGAATGTGGAACACGTATTTTTGTTAGTATATATCTTTATGTCAGGAGAGGGTTCTTGAGGTGTAAGTATGGGGTGTTTAGACTTTAGATTACCCAGAGATTGGTCCTTCCTTGTGTAAGCTAACAGCCAAACAGGTTAGAAGGGTGTGATGGAGAGTTTTACAGGAGCAGAAGAGGTCTTATAACCTTGTAAGTTAGATTTAAGCGTAATGGCTTCCCGGTCTTCTAATGGTGTTTGTTAGGTAGTCGGAGGTTGGAGTATTGAGGTGTTGAAGAAGTTCTAGTGGCAGATGTTTTATCATGAAGGGTATATGTGTGGATAAGGTTGCTCATGATCTGGCCTATCCAGATGACAAGGTTTGTATCGAAGCTTATTGGACCAGATTCGGGCTATGAAAACTAGATTTGATGAGTTTTTGGGTCGGGTTCAAGCTTCTAGTTAGCTCAATATTTTGAAACTTGTAATTCTTTAAATAACTAATGATAAATTATAAGACTTGATTTGAATTAATACATATTGATAATATTAAAACATCAATTAATTTCGGTTTTCTACTTTTAAAATTTTATAACTTCAATTTTTATATAATGTCCAAGTTTGTACTTTTTATCTAAATATTGAGTTGGTCCCGGTCTTAATCGAGACATGATTGGATCAGGTTAGGATCTTAAAAATTAGTCTGATTAAATTATCAAGTTTGATTCAGGTCATTCATAAACAAGAGTGGTATCCATTCATAAACAACACTAGGCAAAATTATCTACAAATCATTAAAATTTGTTCAATTTTTGTTTTGTTTGTCACCATATTATTAGTATAGAAGTGGTGTTTCAAAGAACTCATCAAGTTGCTTGGTTAATGGTACCTTTTGCCGTTGGATACTTTATTTTTGTTTCTAACTTTTTAACTAGTATATTGGTGAATGACTTTTGACTTTCTTATTGTAGGCTTAAATGTTCAATTCATTATAATCATGTATGTTGTTTGCATTATGTGTGAATTTTAGTTACTAAGATTCCTTTCTTAAGTCTCTTTTGAATTTTATTCTATTGCCTAATAAAAGACTTGCTTCAAGAATCTAGAGATTCTAGACGATATTGCTGGATAATTTTTTCCTTGTTATTGCAGCAATTGAGGAAACTTGTAGGACTCGTTTGGTGGACAATAGACATGATAGGATATGAATGGTTAGGAAAAGAGGGATGAATAAAAGTAGGATAGGATATGAGCCTGATAAGCTCATATCCTATCATGTATTTGATGTACACTGGATAAACAGTCTGATAGGATAATATTATTTTATCTGGTGTTTGAGGTGAACCATATAATGTCATGATATGATATGGATAAACAGAAATACCTCCTTAATAGAATTTCATATGATATTTTAAATTGATTCTTAAATTGCTTTTCTTTTTTTTACTTATTTACACACTATTTCTTATTTTAAATTATTAAAAAAATTAAAAGTCATATTATTAAATAATATATATATTAAAATACATAAATAACTTTAAAAAATATATATATATATATATATATATATATATATATATATTAAAAATTATATCCTCACCAAATAAATTTTTATATACTAAGTTTTAATTTGATTGTCAATATTGGTGACTTGTGGTTAGTGACAATGGTGGGTGGTGGCGACGCAATTGGTGCAGTGGGTGATCTATTGAATTTGTGGTGGTATTAGTTATGGGGGAATGTGGCAATTGGTTGTGGTGATGGCGCCAGTAATAATCAGTGACAGTTGTGGTGATGGCGCCAGTAATAATCGGTGACAGTTGTGGTGATTGATTGATAGCAGTGATGGTTGGTGGTTGGTGGTTGAGGGTGCAGGTGGCCAGTGGCAACGACAACGATGGTGGTAGTTGTTGGTGCGATGGTGGCAGGTGAGGGTGCTTGGTGAAAGTTGTGGTGGCGGCGCCGACACTAACAGATGGCAATTTTGGTGGCTAATTGATGGCGGTGGATGGTGGTAATGGTGGCGATGACAGTTGGTGCTTGGTGCTTAGGGGTGGTGGCTAGTTGGTGATGGCGATGGTGATGAGTGGGGCAATTGTAGGGGTTGATCGGTGGTGGTGGTGGTGGTTGGTTGTAGCTGGTGACAATAGTGGTGGCTAGTAGCTCATGGTGATAGCTGGTGGCAGTAATGGGTAGTAGATGTGGCTTTTGGCCAGCAGCGGCAACGGTGGAGGCTATTTAGTGGCAAGAGCTGACCTTCACGTGCCCAATAATGTTCATAGGGAAAAGCTTAGAGCTATATTTGGAACGAGAGAAATGTGACATATGCTATCCTATCATGTCCATTTCTAACCCCCGAATCCCTCTTTAAGATAGCTTATCATATTTCGACATGATAAAACTAGTCAACAGGATAAGATTATTATATTCTGTTGGTTCGCTAAATAATAGATAAGGCCATGATATGATAATATATCATATCCTATCCTCCTTATCCTGTTCGCCAAACGGACCCGTAATGTCCACGTCTACCAGATGGGTCAGTTAGCGTTGGCCTCAAAGTTCCTTCGCGTACGGATATTGGACTCAATTTTGTCTCTAAAATTGACTGAAATTGGGCAAATTCACTCATATATTTTTATATGTACACATATGTATTTCAATATGTATTTTTTTAGTTAACATATATATTAATGTTTTTACATTATACTTGTTTAACATTCTTTCTCTTTTTTTCCTTTTTTTCTTTTTTGTAATTATTATTTTGAAATACTTCGACTTTAGAATGGATACAAGACTACTAAGTTATGTTTACATACGGGTCCCCTACGTACTTCATTAACTTTTAAATATATTGCGACTCATCACCTTATCCCATTGATAACCAGTATAGAAGAATAAGAGTTGCAAATAAAGACGTAATCCTTTAAGGAGATTGCTCAATAGAATCTTGATTTGACACATGCAATAAGTATCTTCATAAATTTAATGTTCTGCAATGACATCTTAATTAATTCTTACAAACCAACATCGCATTCTCTAAACCTTTAGTAAGTTTAGTTTCAAACATAAAAGCAGAGGAGGCAACAAGCATGTAGCAGACAGCAAGATAAACACATCAAACAGGAATACAAGAAAATAACAAAGACAAACTAACAAATCTGAGACGCCAAACCAACCAGTCAAGTTTCAAAAACAACGAAACCAAAACATTTTTCAACAACCATTCATCATTCATAAACCATGCATAAATCTCATGGGGTTCCCCTTAAAATTCTATCCTCAAGTGATTTCACAAATTTTTTTTATCGGATCACATAAAGTTTCGTTTCAATGTTGATAGTGCCTCTATATATATATATATATATATATCATTTTGGAAGGTAGTGCCTCTATATATTTAATTGCTTACCAGGGCTCTAACAGAGACTATAAGATATAATGGATTAAATCTTGATGCATGTGTTCTTGCACCACATTTGGGCCCATCTTATCCACTTTGATTGTCAATTTTAATCAAACTTGGGGTCACCGCCGGCATCTGTTTAGTTCGATGCCGAGCTTCTTTTTTGTAATTTCTAGCCGCTCATGTCATGCTTATTCTGAGACCCACTACTAAATGTAAATTTTGGATATTAATTTACTTAATGCAAAACTATATTTATTTTCTTAAACAAATTATATTTATTGTATAATCCGTGACGGGTTCCTCACATGCACCTTCACATGGCTACATGTGGGGAACCTTTCATGAACTGGCACATTATATTGGTCCATCTTGTGCCTTTGATGTCCCACGCCTTAATCAAAGTTCATGTCACCACATTTCTCAATTTTATGCTGATTTCAAGACCATTAATTAGAATCGCATAGATTCTCGCAAGTAAGATGGTGACTTGTATCTTTATTTTCTATTTTGAACCTAGTAAATGTATCTTCTTAAGTTTATTATGAATTTGCACAACGGTTTGCATAACACAGAAATATATTTATTTCCATAAATTTTTTAATTATTCATTTCTTTGGTAAAAATTGTGACATTGCGATAGTAGTCAGCAATTAGTTAGACAACCCGTACATTCTGCAAATTGTGGCTCAATATACTATGTGAAATAACCAAATACTAAGCTTTTGCAATTATACTAACATCATCTCCATTCTCCACTGCTTAGTCGCTTTATTCATTTGTTTTATGTTTACTAGTTGCCTTATATTTTCATTTACACAATCAGGCACAACTAATATATATAATGGACTTTCAATAAGAAACTTCGATTCATAAATTAAATTTGTGCTTTTATTTTTCGGAGCTGATTTTTGTGTCAACATCACTTAATTTAATCTAATAAGCAGTGAAGAATGATCATTTAGTTGGAATCCCCAAGGAAACGAAAGAGCATGATGATCATTGTGGACCAGCTTTAGAGCCCATATCAACCTAACAAATAATGTCAATGTTTACATCTGGAGAACAACCCTTTGTTGTAAATGTTACTTAATGCTTTTCAAACTGAACCACTAATTTCAATGTCTGTGTCAGGCAATATAAAAGTTTCGTTTATTATTATCAATCTTACAATAAGAGCCTGTTTGGATCCTCTTCTTTTTAAGCTAGAAGCTACTTATAAGCTAAAGTTAAAAAAAAAAGCTTAAAAAAAGAAGCTAAATGCTGTTTGGTAATCACATAAAAGTTTTAGCTTAAAAGTTAATTAAAAGCACATATTTAAAGAAATTTATCTTTCTCTATCTTTATAACTCTTTATTTAAAAAAAAGAGAGCACATAATTCAAGAAAAACAGATTAGAGCTTAAAAAAAAAGCTCCTCTTTTAATTTTCAACTTTTTTCTTCATTATAAAAAAAGAGCTTTTCATCATAAGAGCTTTTTCCAAAACCTGTTTGACTTAGCTTGTGCTTATAAGTAGTTTCTAACTTAAAAAAGAGAGGGTCCAAACAGGCACTAAATCTCTCTTCTTATTTCAATCGCTTCCTATCTTTTCTTGACTTGGTTCCTTACGCAGTCAAAGAGAGAAGTCGCGACATAGAAACTTGATTGAAGATTGAAGAAGAGGTAAAAAAAAAAAAAAATAGACAAGCTTGTTGTATATAAAATGCATTAGACAGTGAGAAATAAAGGTTAAACTCATAACTACTAGTTAAAATTGTCATAGAACACATCGTCTCTATGGGTCTCACTATGAATGAGGCCCATATACATGAAAGGAGATATGTGGCAGTAAGGAGCATTTATTCCACTTTAATTAGGAGTACATAAGTTCAACCCCTATATTAGACCTCATCAGTAGCAGGTTCAGGTTATTGGACCCTTTGTAGCTTGGGTTTAGTGTGTGTCATTCAAAAGGACACAAGTTGTGTTCTTATAGTGATTTACACAGAGTACGATAGGTCGTACTCTGTGTAATTCTGTAAAGTTACTTTTTTCACTTTACACGTCAGCGACGTGACTAGGAAGAGAGAAAAAAAAATAACTTTTCAGTTTTACACAAAGTACGACCGATCGTACTTTGTGTAAAACACCTAAAATGACACAAGCTTGTGTGATTGAAAATGATACTTCTTTTTCCCTTGAAGCTTATCCAAAACAATGTCCTTATCAACTAAATGCATTTACTTGCTACACATCAACCACTACACTGCTTAGGTTCTTCAATTTTGCAATATTAATATGGTCAGGTGCAACCATTATCTGAGATTTCAATGAAGAGTTTTCAATTCTATAACTTTAATTGCTGCCCCAAATATTTATAAATCAGTAGTTAGGAATCACTGTTCGTAAAAGTCATCTGACATGTATATTATAATTCTATCCGCCGGTTATGAAATTCCCTTATCTGTATATCGCCAAATATAGTAAATGTTCATTTAATAAATTTTAAAGTTCAATGATAATGGTTCTCATTCTTAATTTCCCTTTACTACCAACTGTTACTGATTGCATTTTTAATTGCAAATAGATTAGGTGCTTCACTCTTTAGCCTCTTCGTTTTCCATATATTCACAGCCTGCAAGCGCAACCAATTAATTAACTGGACTTTCATGAAGAGGTTTCAACTCCATAACTGTAACGGATCCCTAGGTATCATACATTAGTAGTTAGAATGGATTAAACTGTAACATATCAATGAACTGGTAATGACTTGTTCCAACTTAATTAGTCATCTCGAGTTCATTAACCAATTAACTAGTTAATCTCGAATTCGAGTGTTGGTACGCAACTGTGTTAAAAACTTTGATTGGAAAGAATGGATTAACGTGCTCGGAAGTTAGGTGTATTATTGAGTTTTGTAATTAGTATAACACATCCATTTATATAGTATTCGTAACATCATAAATTTTATTTGCTTTACATATTTTTGTGGAGGCACTCATGAGTTGCGTGGAAATTTTTGGATCTGAATTTCTAGCTTCTGCCGGCTCTGTTTCTCTTAGGACATTAGAAACAAAATG